GGAAGTGGTTTCAGGTCAGTTCCAGCTCTATTGCTCCAAATCCTGCATCTGAAGTATGTTCTGTCTTCAGAAGTAAGGTCTTACCTTCAATTTCTAGGAGACCATCAAGGTCTGTGGCAATAGCCTGTGTAATTTTGAGAGTCTCTTGGACTACCTTGACCAACAACTCACAGACGTTTTCCCTTGTCTGGCACTGTTTCTTGTTATAAAGCCTTTAGCTATACACATGGACTCATGTAGGGATACTATAGGTGTAATTTGGCATTAGGTTGTTGGATTAATATGATATCCTCTGGTTTTTTAAAACTAGCTAGGCATTATTTATTTCCCCTCTCTCCCTGCCTAACCCTTCCACCATGGTTTCCCCATTTAAAGTGTTTCCATTTTCCCCATTTCTACTTTGATAATACTAGTCTCCTATGGTTCCACCTCTCTTGAGCACACACAGACACTGTCTATGAATTGCCCATGTATGGAATGGAAGATGACACTAATGAATCTCTCGGTTCTCATGCAACAGAGGAATAGGCACACAAAAGGTCACAAATGGTCAAAACGTAGCGATTAAGAATCTGCAGAATGCTTGTCCTTGGACAGGACTCCTATATTAAACTTCACACACCCAGGGCTCAGGGACCATCATGGAAGAGGGGGCAGAAAGATTATAAAAGAGCCAGGGAGGAGGTGCATGACCACATGGAAAGCTCCTGGGACCATGCTCATATGACTCTATAGCAATCGTGACAGCATACACATGTCTGATGCAAACTCAGGAAGACAAAAACCCAGCATAGAACTGTGGAAATGAACAGCAGACCCTAATCTTAGCTGAAGAAATATTGAAAACTGATTACTGCTAGGCTGATCTCCTAAAACAAGAGGCTCTAGATAGGCTGACAAGACCTCAGTGGATAGACTTGTACTGGGGAACATCTGGGGACACTGACTTGACACAGTGAGCCTTAACATGGATGACAGAGTATATGAGTTCCAGTGGGGGAGCTATGGGAGGGTGCTGATGGGGACAGGGGTATAAAGATGATTAAGATTCTTTGAGATGTTCTGTATGAAATACACAAACTTCAATAAAAACAAATTTTAAAAATAGAAATGAAATTTTACCCTAATGGAATAAAAATGGACACATCTATTGTTTAAACATGTGTATATTTATCTTTGTGCCACAGGAATGTTTAAAAAAGTCATAAAAAATTCTGACTTCTTTGGTCATAATGATGACATAGTCTAATCAATTACTCTTTTAAAAGACTTGAATTTCTGAATCAATGGTCAGTGCCTATAGTTTCTATTATTTTGCTCATGTATTCATATTAGACTTAATCCATTTTTAACACAACATATTTCTTCCTTCTTTAAGAAATGGGAAAAGTTAGAAACTTTTATATTTATAAAGCTATAATTATTTAGTCACTCTGTTAATTAGTCTTAAAATCTCAAGTGTTTGATAGTTGCTTTTTTCCCCCAGCTAGTGCTGCCAATTTGTTTTTTTCTTAGAAATTTATCATATCTTCTTCCTTGAAATAATTCCAAGTATACATGTTCATATTTGAAAGTAACTTGGTTTCAGAACTATATAAAACTATAATTTTGGACTAATTAAACTGAAAAACTACCCACTGGAGACTTGAAGGGCCTCATGCTTTTCTTTTTAAAAGAAAAAAAAATGGTAGGAGTTTTAAGTTCTGGGAGGAAAAATTCCTACTTGATCAATAAACACAAAACTCAAAACAATTTTGAATTCAGTACCATTTTTAAAAGATACTTGTTTGCTGCCGGAAGACCCAGGAAAAAGTAAGGTCTTTGGACTTAAAACAGGAATGCCTAATATTTAGCCAGAAGTTGTATTCATTTTTGAGGTTCAAACTTCTGTCACCTCCCAAACTTAAGCTTGCTGCAAACACTAATTCTTTAGATAGGGAACATCGGGTGAGGGTGGTACAACCAATGAGCAATCACCATCTGCTAAGCCTTCTTCTGCACTGTGTCACAGACTAGGGACAATGGATACAAGAGAGAAGACAACAGACACATAGACCTAACTACAAGGAAAGCAAAGCCAGTAAAAATAGGAAAAGTTGGGCAACAGACCTTAACCCAGAAAGCCACAAAGAGACATTGGGCTCCCTTCCACCACTTATGGAAGGAGATTGTAGTCAACTGTACTTGATTCTCAGATGACAGGCACTTTAATGAATGAATGATTAGATGATATGAATCTGAAAAAGAGGAAAAAACTAATGGATTGTAACCTCAAAAAGGAAGGCCTTAGACACACACTTGTGTATGGAATAGCTGATCTAGAACTGTCTTTGAGATGAGTAGAACTAGACAGAGACTCCTATAGGATACCTGTGGTCCACCTGGGTGCAGAGTCCGAGAAGTCACTTCAGTCTTGGTTAGGTTTTTTGTTTGTTTTGTTTTCATTAGAGAATTGCAACCCTGGGTTGTTTGCAGTAGTTTGTTTTCAAAGTCAATCTATTTGCTTTCAGTCAGAAAAATAACTGTACTGTAAGACCAAAACAGAGAATATGACCATATAGTCTACTGTCCACAGCTCTTATCTAAAGCAAAAGCACAAAGTGAGATTCACAGAGGGTGGCATCCAAAGATAGCAGTTTATTCATCTCTATAACTTGTCCGGATTTTAACCCTAGATCAACAGCATTCATCAAGCTGAATATTTGGATTGTGTTTTCAGTAGTATTTTGTGTGGGTTTTCACAAGTCTCTCTAGTCCTATAAAATTGCTTTTACCAAACTGAGGTTTGCAATGATGTCCTCTGCTCACTCGCTGTTGATTTTATGGGTAGGATATATTGAAGTTGCCTCAGCCATCTCTTCATAAGCCCTATGGGAGATTTCTCAGACTTTAGTGGAAGGAAGAGTTTGACTCTCCTAAGCAAATGGCACATTCTTATTTTATTGACCATCCAAATCTTGTAAATATCTATTCATGCTAATAAATTTAATTGAATAATGTTTAGATTTTATCTCTTTTGAGATAACAGCAGTGCAAAATGTCCCACTAAAATGGATTGTTTCCATTTATGGACACACATTTGCCCTGATTACAGAGAAATGAACCAAAGTATGACCTTCGTGTGTTTCTATCCTCTTCAAAGAATCAGGGCTGGAGAGACGGCTCAGAGGTTAATAGTTAAGAGCACTAGCTACTCCTGCAGAGGGCTCAGTTTCTGTTCTCAACACCTGTAATTTGGCTACCAACTCTTGGTAATTCCAGATCAAGGAAACCTGATGTGCTCTTCTGGCATCTTCAGGCATTGCATGCATGTAGTGTTCTTACATACATGCAGGCAAACACACATGCACATAAAATAAAAATAATTTTTAAAAAATTCAGGTCTCTTTAAGTCCCCAAAGGGGCTAATGAGGGATCAGAGTCTCCCAGGCTCAATACAGTCACCTTAGTTTATCTCCTTTGAGATAAACTGAGCAGCTGCCTGGGATGGCCAGTGTGGATCCTTATGGTCTTTTTGATCACTGATGCTGGAGCTGGGCTCCTAATGTCACTATGTGTCTCTTCCATACCTGACACCTAGCACTGCCACCCAATCTCAAAATGCACCACTTACTACAGCTAACCTCTGCCCTGTTCAACCTGGTAAAATGTTTAAAATGGGCTAATGGGAAAATAAGCTCTATAAACCTAGGAGGAAAAAAAAAAGTCAATGCTCAAAATGAGATAAATTCTAGAAATTCAAAGTACACGGTATTTATTATTGTGTAGCATAAAAAGGTACAAATTTCATTTAGAAATTTCAGATACACTGAGTTCATTATGAGATGCACCCTAATAAGCATAGTCCTTGATATCAACTTTCACAAAGGTTAAAATCTACCCTAAAAGAGACAATTTTCAACTGGTATAACATAAAGCATGGCGTCTTATAAATTATGTCCAAAAAATTCTTATTGTCAAATGCCCAGTATATAAATTTTTATGCTAGATATATGTACTTAGAAGAAAAGTATGTTCTAAAATAAGCTCAAGAAAAATGTGAATTAGGATAATAAATATACTTCTAAAAATAACTCACCAGGCTGGTGAAGTGGCTAGGTAGGTAAAGGCACTTGCGTTATAAGCTAATGACTTGAGTTTAATCCCTGAAACCAATATAAAGGTGGAAGGAGAGAAATGGCTACACAAAATTGTTGTCTAATCTCCACACTCACACTGTTGTATGCACACTCCACCCCTACACATATCATGCATACACATACAGAAATAATAGTGCAATAAAAATTTTTAAATAACTTACAGGGGTAAAAAAGCAAGGTATGGTGGCACATACCTTTAATCCCAGCACTCAGAAAGCAGCGGCAGGGGGATCTCTGTGAGACCAAGGGAGGCCAGACTGGTCAAATAGCAAGTTCCAGGCCAGCTGGGACAACAGGGAGACCCAGTCTCAACAAACAAACAAACAAATTAAAAAGCAATATGAGTGAAATAAATTATTTTAAATCTATGTTAGTTAGACTTACTAAAACTTCTACATAAATGTAGTTATTCAAAAGTTAATTTATTATTCATTTTATGAGAATCAGCATTATCCTCATAGCAAAATCAAAGATACTATCAAAAATTTACAGGCAATTTTTTTTATGAATAGTTGTACAAGAATTCTTAACAAAGTACTAGCAAACTAATTCAGTAGCATATTGAAAGGATTATATACCATGACCCAGTGAGATTTACTGTTGGAATGCAAGGATAGTTAAATATACAAGGATCAGTTTCCATACTATGTCAATCACATCAAAAAAATGAAAGGAAAAATACAATTGTCTCAGCTGATGAAAAAATGCAATATCCCCTCATGATGCAAACACTAAACAGACTAGAAATAACAAGATGTATCCTCAGGACCATCAAACACTGCCATAAAGAGAACATGTCTATGTTAATAACCTACAACAAGAAAGTTATGCTCTTTCAAAATTCCTGTAAGGAGTACTTACCTTCCAGAATTTTCTTGAACTGTCTAAACCATATATCACAGTGGTCTTCACTTAAATTAATGAGGTCAAGTGTAGAGTCCTTTAATTTGTTTTCTTCCTTTTTCAAGCATATGAAAAGCGTGATACCTAATAAAGTGCCACTGCTCTGCTGATGCACAGAAAGACGCCGCTTCAGTTTCACAGAGAATATGTCTTTAACTTCAACACACTCTTCTCTACCCAGCACATCACCCTTGGAATCACCTGGAAGGAAATTAAACTTTCAGTCAAACCAACTGTTTCTACATTTTGAATGTATGAATAGGTGAAAAAAGAAAATCTTTATCACTTATAATTTTGAATTTCCATTTATCTCGGACATTGCAGAGAGAAAGGAATGGGATAAAAATTAAGTCCAGTTTCCCATGAATGATGAAAAAAAATGGAGTAAATGGTAGAGACCCTGCCAATGAGGCTTATGACATTCAGAATCTAAAATTATTCAATGTATGAACAATTCCAAAAATGACAAAGCAACACTTAAGTAATAAATTAAGACTGATGAAAGGATCCCTTGGTTTAATGCTGGACAAGTGGCAAACGCCGATTTCACTCACTCACAGACATGAATTTATGTGGTTTGCTAAAGGAAAATTCAAAGACAGGGAAACGTGCATTCCCAGTGAAGTTTCACATGTGAAAATGACGTGAAAGCAGAAAGGATGCTGTGTGGGGGAAGCAGGGGACTCAGAAAGGAAGCTGTGTGGGGGAAGCCGGTGTGAGGGAAGCTGTGTGGGGGGAAGCAGGGGACTCAGAAAGGAAGCTGTGTGGGGGAAGCCGGTGTGAGGGAAGCTGTGTGGGGGGAAGCAGGGGACTCAGAAAGGAAGCTGTGTGGGGGAAGCCGGTGTGAGGGAAGCTGTGTGGGGGGAAGCAGGGGACTCAGAAAGGAAGCTGTGTGGGGGAAGCCGGGGACTCAGGATGCTGTGTTGGGGAAGCAGGAGACTCAGAAAGGAAGCTGTGTGGGGGAAGCCGGGGAATCAGAAGATGGCAGAGGAGGTGGAGGGGAATGTGTGGGAGGGGGATGAATGAAAGCAAAGCACAATGATATATCTGTATTAAAATGCTACAATGGGATCCACTGCTCTGTATGCTAACTTAAAATTTTATTTAAAAAATAAAAAAGACATTTTTTGAAAACATGGTAAAGATTTTTACCACTTGTCTCTAACTACAAGTCAGAAAATTGCTGTGGTAAACGACCATTGCAACTGCCTTTCTGCTTTTGATGAGGAACAACGGGATTAGCTTTACTTCTCACCCATGTCAACTCAATTAGACAAGAACCCAAAGGGGAGGTGAGATATAGGTGGCAGTCCAGCACTAGATTGAGAACTACTTGAGACTGATTGCTGCTGGGTGAGGGAGACTATGACTCACATACGACCACTGGATGGGCTAACTGGACTACTCCAATAGACCCATTTACACTGAAGAATATTTGGGTACAAACAACTGAATGAATAATACGGCTCAGCATGTATGGTAGAGTGCATAGGGTTCAGTGGGGGGGATGTGGGGAGGCATGGATGGGGGAGGGGGTCTGGATTTGAGTGGGAAATGTATGAAATTAAACCTTGCAGACAAGAAGAAATAACAAAAATCAGGGCAGAAATCAACGAAATTGAAACAAAGAAAACAATACAAAGAATCAACAATCCCAAGAGCTGGTTCTCTGAAAAGATAAACAAGATTGACAGACCGCTAGCCCAATTAACCAAAAGAAAGAACACCTCCAAATCAACAAAATCAGAGATGAAAGGGGAAACATCACAACAGACACCAGAAAGATACAGAACATTATAAGGGAATACTTTAAAAACCTATATGCTACTAAATTTGAAAA